AGCCTGCTCCCCTCCTCTTCTTTCACGCGGCCAATTTATTTCTTTTTCTCCCCTTCCATCCTCATTTCCTCTGTACGTCTCTTTCCCTGAACGTTTTCCTTTCCTTCCACTCCAGTCTCCCCCCCCCCTATGTATTTTATATGTATTATATATGTATTTTACCTCCCAGTCAAATGCTGAATTTGTGCACTGGCTTCATCAACCCACTCCATGCGTGAGGGGCCCTCGTTATCCGCCAATCTCCCCCCCTGCTAGCTCTTTCAGCGCCGGTACAGAGAGCCGAAAAGATATTTTTATTCTGCGGAGCCGGAATTTTTTTCGGGTCCCCGAAAATCTGCCTGGTCTCGCAGCCCCTGATCACAATCGCTGTCGTCGCTCGGTTCGGGAAACCCGACTGATCTCACTCCCGCGGCGTGGAAACGGGAGGGTTAGGTTCGATACGTACGTCCGTTTTGCAGGAAAATGAAGGATGCAGGAAAATCGCACTTGTATTTATTTTTTTAACTTTTAACTTAAATTCCTTAGGTTTTGGTGAAACCGAGCAGTTGAACGTGGTGGCCTGTGCTTCATTTGTGCTTCCTAAAAAATTCTGGCCTGCCTGTCAACCCCCTCCCCCCAGCCCCCCCACTGCCAGCCATCATCCCTCTTCCAGCGTGATGGGTAATGTCGGGAGATCCCTCTTTTCAGCCTGTTTTCATGTCAGTCTAAAGGGCGTGTGAATGGGGCGTCTGTGGGAGAGAAGCAGTGAGAGATGGCTCGCGCTGGCCTTGGCGCACAGTAGGGGTTGATCTGAGCCCCCCAGACCTTTTCTTATTCCCCCTAATCTCATTTGCCCCCCCCCCCAAAACCCACCCACCCTCTTCCCCCCCAGACTTTTTTTTAATTTTGCTTTTTAACAACAGTGGGCTCACATTTGCCATTCCTAGCCCTGCTTCTTCCTGACACTCAATGGCTCCGTTAATTAATTTCCGATTAGGAGTTACACTCCAGGCGCGATCTGTAAGGTTTAAAGACCTGACTAAGCTAATTAATTAAGATTCGGGAGGGTTTTTTTTCTTCCTTCCCGTCTCTCGAAGCAAGCCAGTCCTTTTTCCCCAAACATGCTGTGTCTGAAGCAAAAAAAAAAAAGACCAGTCTGTAATCGGCGACCCTGCTGAAGATGCTTAATTTTCTGAACGGCCACCTTTAAGCCTAATAACTCCAGTGCTTATGGGGAAACACGGCCCTGACATTCACTTAGAATGGAAAACCTCCGGTTCTTACTGTGTTTGCTCTCACCAGTGCGTTTCATGGAGGAGATCAAAGAGAACACGGGAGAGAAAAGGAATCCTACCCTCGAGAGTTGCAATATCTGGGGAATATTTTGAAATTATGGCCTAGCCTGCATTTTATTCCATTTTAGCATTCCGATACACACACGGGAAAAGCCTTCAAAGGCAATTCAGAAAGAAACCCTCATGAAATTCAGCATTTACCTCTGGAGGAAGAGGAAGACAGAACATGAAATGTCGAGAGTGGCACCCAGATCAAAGGAGGAAAGTGAGCTTTAAGCATGAGGCACTTAGAGTTACAGTAGCTAACTGTTCAAGAAGGATAAACTAATGAGTGTGGGGTGTTAGCTTTTATTTTGCAGTCCTTTTTTTTTTGGAGCAGACAGTATAATTACAGTGAGTCACCAGGTGTGAAGAAGTGTGAAGACGCCGTATGTGCTGCTGTATTTGTGCAATGATGAGCCAGTAAAAACAGTTATACTTTTAAATCCTTCTCTTCGTGTCCGTCGCAAAATCTCCTCCAGCATTTCTCCAAAACTACCCTTAAAAGATATTCTCTTTTATTAACTTACCTGCAGGGATTCCTCTAGACATTTAGATCTCGCAATTCCCCAGGGGCAACAGGGAGGTATCGGATGAGGGAATCTGCACTTTGGTAGAAGCTTTTGGCCTACAAATGGAGCAAGAGATTTGGCGCAGGTAGCGGGGCAGCCAGGGAGCGGGATCTCTTACCTTTGTCCAGGACGGGCCCGAAGATGGCCAGGTTGTCCTCGATGGTGGTGCAGTTCCAGCGCCGGCCTCTGAACTGGTGCTGGCATTCCTGGATGCCCAGCTTTACCCCCTCTGCCACGCTGGGCATGATCTCGATGTAGTTCCTGCAGAAGCGCAGCTGTTTGGGCACCAGGCCGGGGATGGAGCCGCACAAGATGGGCTGCGAGCCCAGAGAGGAGTACTGCTGCCCCAGAGCCAAAGACCTGCGGGAGATGGCAGAGAGGGGAGACCAGCGGTGAAATGCTTTGCCGCTATAATGCGACTCGCATTATTCTCTTGACAGGACACCGCCCATCACTTTCATTCATTGATAAAAGAAAACGGTCACTTACACGGTGGGTTTAAGGACACAGGCACCTGATCTGTTCAGTGAACTTTTGACCCCAAGGATGCTCATCGTGGTCAACCCAACCCTGTCATTTCTGGTCCGCGTCCTTACTGAATAATGGTTGGTATCGGGCCTGGTTTGTGTGTGTGTGTGTGTGTGTGTGATCTTAACTTTAAACTTAGCTGGCCTGTAAAAATGTGTATTTGGAGTATTCAGTTACATCTGCTTTCTTTTATTCTCTTTCCCTCCCAGTTTCATCGCGCTACTTGAATCAGAAAGGACTGAAGCCTGGAGGCTGTCCTTTGATGTTGCTGTCCAAATCCTCTTTACTCCCACAACCCGAAGGACTGCGGGTGTCAGAGCCTAGCCAGGTGTCTGTTCACTGGGATCACTGCGATGCAAGGAGACTCTGGAAACCAGGTATTCTTCCAATTGTTTTCCACAGTCATTTCCATTCGTGGTGTAACTAGGTTGCCCCTATAAGCAGTCTTGCAGGAACAGAGTATCCGAGTGTCCAAGTGACAGCCCATTGTCCCGGTATCTTGACCAGGGACACTGTCCTGTAGGAGGCAACATCCTTTGGAATAGATGTTAAATTGACCGCATGGTCATCACACATCCCGTGACATGGGTTGTAAGAGTAGGGCTGTTAACGCCAGTGTCGGGGCAGAATTCTGCTTTGGTGTCGCACCATCTGGCTTTTATAAGGTTCCTCCTTATTGCGGCTGGAGAAGCAGTTTCTCACAGTTTCTCACTGCTGTGCAGTGGGGCTGCAGGACACCTCACCCATGTGGGGGCCGCAGTTCAGTACAGGAGTAGGACAAGAAGGACCACTACTGTATGTAAATCACTCTGGGACTCTTTGGGATGAAGAGTCCAACATAAATGCAAGTCATTTTTTTAAATTCAGTTAACCGCAAGAAGTGCCCTTACAATGGCAGTAGCTAGTTTTGGTGAGATAATGGTCAAGCTGCAGTTGAGCGTGTGTTTGGTTTTGGACACCCTGGATAACCTGTTTTGATGAAAAAGTGAAGTGAGTCTCTTCTTTTATACAGTATGTTCAGATCAGCATTTTTAAGAATAAATACTGTAAATTGATTTCAGAGATCATGAAAAAATGTTAGAAAAATAACAGCGCATGTACAGTGAACCCAAATACTTTGAGAGGTTTTCTCCACAATCTAACACTGTACAATTCATATATGTGAATTAGTATTTTTGTCTGATATTGGCATCCTACATTGCCCAATTGTTGGTTGCTGCTGGTAAAAGTTCTCACTTTGCACCACAATTCTCTGCTTTATTCCTTCAAAGCACAGCTCATGCCCTTAACAGCAAACACCAAGGTGCAATGCACATCAACCCTGTTGTCACAGACTTCCTCATTAGCAACATGATGAGAACACATTGGATCAGTCAACAGCTAGGACTGAACACTGTAACACACTACCTTTGCAGATAGTTCTACGGTTGTGCAACACGTTTGTCTTTAGCTGTTTGTTCTGAGCATTGTTAATTTGCGTAGCAGGTCCTTATATCCAAGGCAACTTCACAGAATCACAGTCTGACCAATGAAAAATCAAAGATTTTCAGGGGTCCTGCAACTATAACTGAGTGCAGTAAGTAGAGTGAAGCAGTAAATGAGCTATACTGTAGCCTATTGAAATTAGAAATACAGTGTGGAGTACAGAGTGACTTTTATGTATAACGGATGAAAACAAAATATTATGAGTCAATAAATGCATGAATTTCCCTAAGTTTGAGAAGCAGCGCATTTCAGGTGTTTTTAAGAGAAAGAAGTTGCTGGGGATGTGAATATTAATAAACTCTGCCCATTTTTGCAGTGTTTGTCACTATGACCTCACTAACTTTGACCAGACAGACAGGCACACAGTATGAACAAATCTTACAAGGATCACTGTCCAGGGTTCTGGTGGTTTTTAAGAGTAAGCAGCCATTGAAGAAAGATGCAGCATGTGCAGTGCAGAAGAATTGCTGGTTGAGAAGGAGTAGTAGTCACAGGTGCAGGTGTGAGTAATATTACATGACGTCATGTAATATTATTGATTACATGAGTTAGCAATTTCGCTTTAGTGTTTTCAAGTTATACACCATTCACCACATATTGTGTGTATCCACTATGCTGGATTTTTCTGGTGCTGCTTTTTAAGTTCAATTTGTTTATTGGATTTTCAAGGAAAACAAAAGACTATTGCATAGTACCAAATGCAATAATAATCAACTGTGAACCGTCGTCGTGGTATGGCAGACTTGGTACCTAAACAAACTGGGTGACGGTGCCGTTTCTCATCTCTCTTGCTGCTGCTGGTGGTGTTTCCTGTCTGACCGGCACTGTCTTGGCACGGCACCTCTCTGTGTCGGCCCTGATGTTGATGTGATAATGGGATCACAGATCCCGTCAAGGAGAGGGCCGCTGCAACCAGACCCTCGCGAAGCTGGCAGCCGGATAGCTGCTAGAGGCCATTAGAAGCAGAACAATCAGCCCACATCAGGCTTTACCGCAGTTCAGGGTGACATCAACCCCTCCAGGGTGCAACATTATCAGAGGGCTTTCTCCTGTGCTACGTGCATCAGCATCCTCTGCTTGTCAAGAAATCTGCTCAGATCAGAAGAGCACGGAGTTGCACAAAAAAGAAAGAAAATGCCCCAAGAAAGTTAGGAGCGAGGTATTGTGAAGATACTTACGAGTCGGGGCTTTTTGATCTCCGCTCACAAGGTTCATCTTCACACCAGCCCAGAGCGGGCCTGGTTCTGCACCAGACTAGGGACCTGGGGAATCTGGGGCACCGCGCCGGGGCTGTATAGTTCCGGCACAGTTTCAAGAATCGCGGACGAAAAGTGATACAAATCGGCATTCTGAGAACGGCAGTGATGGTCACGACCAGACAGAGATGAGCAGTCGCCTGTTGCATCTGTTGACTTGTCTTTGACAGATAGTTGCTCTTGCCAGAGACTCTGCTTTCGAGCAGCGGCCGATGGCCTCTTTTCCCCCTGCCCTTCTCTTCCGGGGTGCGCTGTACCCTTCCTCTGGCTGAAGGACGGCCCCAGTAGCGTTGTAGCAGGATGGGCTCAGCCCAGTGCATCTGAATGAAACGCTTCAAGTTGGCAAACCTGTCTTGACTTACCCTGCAAATTATACCCCAGCAACAAAATATAAAGTCGCTAGAGTGCACACTTTCTTGTCATCCACACTACTCCCTTTGTATTCATGCTTGTTAAACAAGGTTATCAGCCTGGTATTGATTGAGACCTTTTGGCTGCTGTAAATGACAGCTGGGCACAGTCGCGTAATGCCCTGGCACATGGTGGTCTGCGCTGTGACGGAATGGCGCACGGTGGCGTTATGCAGTTGGCTGGCCGAACCGCTGGTTTTGGTTTTGTTTCCCAACCTCGGTCTACTGGGCGAGCTGTTCCCGTTCACTCACGGCAACACAGGGCAAGTGTACCTGACAGCTCAGCGGAGGGCTGCTTGTCTGGTTGAGTCGGTTGTTCTAACCATACGGTGGTTTTCCTGCGGGCTAGCTGTGTTTACAGTCCATTCTAATGCAAAATAAATATCAGAATCCTTTATAACACATAACAGGCAAATAAGAGCACATGATGACCCTAGCCCCACCTCTAACCCTACCATGACACATACTTTGACTTCTGTAGCAAATGCTTTATTAATTGACTAAAAATGCTGTTATAGCTTCATTAAACACAGCCTCTGTGACGCTGCTGTACTGTCTACCTTAGAACACCAGTGGTCCAGTATAGTGGATTTCTATGCAGATCTTATAAGTGTTATTGCATTGGAAGTGCATTTAAAGCAAAAAACAGGAGCTCATAGGCTTAAGGGAGTGTGGAACAAGCTACCCAGCCATGTTAAAGCCGATACCCTGGCTTCTTTCATGAAACAGCTGGATGAGATCCCTGGATTAACTAACTGCTGACCACGCAATGGGCCGAATGCCCGCTCTTGCTTCGCGGCCTCGATTCTTCTGTTCTGAATTGAGTGGATCTTTTAACCCGCTGCACACACGTGACGTCCAGCTGCACAGCTGAACAAGAGCGGTCACTGCTGTGACCTCCTGTTCCGGCTGCTGCCCACCTGGACAGGTGTGGAAAGACACCGACGGTGAAGCAGGTACAGTATGGACGTGTGGGGGGAAAAGAGGAGAGAGAGGAGGCAGAAGCCCTCTCTCGTCTGCCTTTCCCACGGTGCCGTGCGTGCATTGAACACACCTGTAGAGTGCAGTCGTTCCTGGCAGCTGCTCTGGTTGAAACCCCTTTTGTGCCGATACGGTCACAGAATGTCCCCAAGTTCAAGTTGCAGTGCAGCATCTCCCCAGTATTAAGAAGCCTCAGTGAAAAGAACAGGGAACAGGAGGGCTGGAAAAATACCCAAAGCCCACAGAAGATGCACAGCATGCATCCTCAGAGTATTTGGGTTTGAGGGAGCGCTTGCCTTCCTGAAGACAGGGAAGAGAGTTATAGACCGCACCCCTATCCATTGACCCTGACATCTTGAGAACATTACATCTTCGTCTCTTATCTACAATCATGTGGTTCTGTCTCCCCATGTCTTCCCATTCCCATCTCTTCCTTCTTTATCAGCACACAGGGCATGTGAGCCTGTGAACTTTGTTTACAAAAAGTCATTGTAAACTTTGTTGACTTCATTCACACTCTCTGATCTCCTGTGAGGAAGGTTCCAAGTTTACAGTCTTATCATCGCTGACCCCACATTGGAAATACAGCATGTGCTCTTTGTATGCCAGGTTGCTGTTCAAACGCTCAGAGAGTGCAAAATCGGTATTCATCAGTTATGTTTTAACCCGTTTGAACACCAGTTTACCATTTTTTCAAATC